CTTAAAAGCAACAAATTCTTTAATTTGTTGAACATCATAGTAATTATAAACACCCTTAGCATACGAAGATATGATTCCATTATCATTGAACTCACATTGGTAGGGAAGGTGTTTCTTAGGGTTTTCAGAACAACAAGTAAAATCATATATTTCACATAAATTCCAAGCATGGCATTGCAAACGATGAATTTGATCCAGTAAAAGTTTCCCTTTTTGAGATAAGCGATGTCGCACATAACAAGCATGCTCATCTAAAGATTTGCCCTCAACTAAGCTAGTTGGGGTTTTAGCACGAGCACATAGGGATCGAAGATGATCCAAGTAAAAAGCTTCAGAAGTGTGATAGATTTTGAGTGGTTCTTCAACCATTGGTGTAGTAGGTACAACTATTTTTTTTTGGTATTTTGCGTTTCCTACCCATAACTAAAGATAGAAAACAACTAAGAATAGCAAATAAAAGTTACTTAGTGATAAAGCAAACAAGCACACATGAGAATATTCACCCCACGCTATAACTCCCCGGTAACGGCGCCAGAAAAAGGTCTTGATAACCCACAAGTATAGGGGATCAATTGTAGCCTCTTTCGATAAGTAAGAGTGTCGAACCAACGAGGAGCTAAAGGTAGAACAAATATTCCCTCAAGTTCTATAGACCACCGATACAACTCTACGCACGCTTAACATTCGCTTTTACCTAAAACAAGTATGAAACTAGAAGGACTTTGTAGGTGTTGTTGGATAGGTTTGCAAGAATATAAAGAGCATGTAAATAAAAACTAGGGGCTGTTTAGATAAAGACGCAATAAAGTTAGTATAGTGAGTGTGGAAAAGTGGTGGTAGGAGTTGTGAAATTGTCCCTAAGCAATTGACTACTTTATTAGACCGATAGCAAGATTTATGTGGGAGAGGCCACTGCTAGCATGTCATCCCTGACTTGGAATTCTATGCACTTATGATTGGAACTATTAGCAAGCATTCACAACTACTAACGTTCATTAAGGTAAAACCCAACCATAGCATTAAGATATATTGGTCCCCCTTCAATCCCGTATGCATCAATTTCTATGCTAGGTTGAAGCTTCTGTCACTCTTGCCCTCCAAAACATAGTCCTATCAACATACAACTAACCCTATGGTGTGATCCACGTGCACGCTCATATGATGGGCACCAAAGGGCAGTGACATAACCACAAGAAAATTGAACCAATCATAGCAATTCACCAATTACCGATAGGACAAGGAAAATCTACTCAGACATCATAGCATGGCAACACATCATTGGATAATAATATGAAGCATAAAGCACCATGTTCAAGTAGAGGGTACATTGGGTTGCGAGAGAGTTGACCGCTGTAGATAGATGGGGGAAGGTGATGGAGATGTTGGTGAAGATGACAGAGGTGTTGGTGTAGATCACGGTGATGATGATGGCCCCGGCGGTGTTCCGGCGCCACCGGAAGCGAGGGGGGAGAGCCCCCCTTCTTCTTCTTCCTTGACCTTCTCCCTAGATGGGAGAAGGGTTTCCCCTCTGGTCCATGGCCTCCATGGCGTGGGAGGGGCAAGAGCCCCTCCGAGATTGGATATGTCTCTCTGTCTCTCTTTGTTTCTGCGTTCTAGATTCTGGCCTTTCACCATTTCTTATATTCCTGGAGATACGTAATTCTGATTGGGCTGAAATTTTAACACGATTTCTATCCGGATATTAGCTTTCTTGCGGCGAAAGAAGGGCACCTACCACCTTATGGGGTGTCCACGAGGGACAGGGGTGCGCCCACCCCCTGGGGCGCGCCCCCTGCCTCGTGGGCCCCTCGAGCATCGTCTCGTGTTGATTCCACTTCCCAAAATTCATAGATATTCCAAAAATAATCTCCGTCAGTTTTTATCCCATTTGGACTCCGTTTGATATGGATTTTCTGCGAAACAAGAACATGCAGCAAACAGGAACTGGCACTGGGCACTGGATCAATATGTTAGTCCCAAAAATAGTATAAAAAGTTGCCAAAAGTATATGAAAGTTATATAATATTGGCATGGAACAATCAAAAATTATAGATACGGCGGAGACGTATCAGGTACGTATGAGGAGGCAAGGCCCTAGCTACGGTGAGATTGTACACACGAGTTTACAAGTTCAGGCCCCTCTCGGAGGAGGTAAAAGCCCTACGTCTCGGTGCCCTGAGGCGGTCGACTAGAATATGGGTATGTGTTACAAGGGGTGCGAACCCTTGTCTCAGAGGAGGGGGTGCCTTATATAGAGTGCGCCAGAACCCCAGCCGTCTTCCGTTACTGGGGTTCAATGTACATTAAGGTAGGGCGTTACTGGTAGCGCCAGCTATAAAGTGCCATTAATGATCTTTAATACTACAGAGTGAATGCCTGACCGTTGCCATCCTGAGTGACTCTAGGTCTTCTGTACTCCGAGTGGTTTCCTGTATGGTCGAATGACTCCATCCAGGTCGAGTGAAATTGGGATATCCGGGTGAGGTGACTGGTCGAGTGGATTGCACTCGATGGCTTCAATCGGTACTTCTTGCTATACTTTGAATGTCCTTGACTCTAGGGTAGTGACCTTGGGTAGGGCGTATCGGTCAGACCTATGACCCTACCCTGCATCCATGGCATCGTCATTATCCCCCGAATGGATTGAGGTCTGAGTGAAAAGAGTTTTGAAGTTGACCTTGACTAGACTCTTATGCCTCATAGGCATTCTTGTTGGGCTCAAGGTTCATGCTGAAACTTTGACTTCATTTCAGTCGCCTTGATCGATTCAGAGATCGTCGAGTGAACTTATGATGGCAATCTTTGAGTGTTGATATGGTGCAAAATCGTCGGCGCGATTGATTACTGTGGTTCCCGGATCTCACGGGATTCAAAAATTTGGCGAAGCGCGCGAGGCGGAGCGCGCCACAGTAAACGTGACGGATAGACATGGGCGCCTCGATTTCCGTACCACCTTTTTTGCCACATATCCGGTGCACGACTGTTGCAGGATTTTATGTCTGGTTTACCTACCCAAGGGCACAATGATAAATTTTACGGAGGATGCTCCTGGTACACAACATCCTTACTTCATAATCACCTATCTGAATGGTGCAGAACATCAATGCTTTGTTAATGCTAAGTCCCATGATTGTTTTTGTGTGCAGTAAAGAAAGGCTCTGTTCTCTTAACAAGGATGGAAAGTATAACGGCATACAAAAACCAACTTGGACAACCCAGATCTGGTAAATTGTTTAGCATTTGCTATAATGCATAAAATCTTAGTGTGGGTTAAATAGCTAAACCTTCAAGACTACTAAATCTTTTACAGGAACTCCAGAACAATGTGACACTCAAGTGTCTGCTAATGACATGTGTTCCCATGAAGAATGTCCATCCCATGCTCGTCGCAACCGTGCGCTACTACGGGATGGTACTTGCTTTCTTTTATATTTGTTTCATCATTTCTTACAATCTAATACTGAGTAATACAATTTTTCTTGTATGATTTGGTTTGTAGAAGCTGGTGGACAGAAGAAGAAAGGGTGAGGTGTTCTAAAAGGTTTTAAAGCATCTAAGAAGTGTTTTGCCAATGGATCTGCAATGCTAAATATTACATTCTCTGAAAAATTGGGTGGTACAGTAGGAATGAACTATCGTTCGTTCAAGGATGACGTGGTAGTCATAATGAAAAGAAAGTTACCACTCATTGGAGTGAGGACATGGTCGGACATTCACCCTACCATTCATCGAATCATTATTGCCGATATGATAGTGCGTACAACATTTTTGACATGTGTTATCTTATTTTACCATGGATAATGCACTGCTTATGTATATTTATTTGTTGTATGCTTTACAGGACAGATGAGACCTGGAAGATACACTAGAAACAGAAGAAAAAGTTCACAAAATTGCGAAAGAGAGATATAGAGGCTGGCGATCAACTCTAAGCTCCACTTACAAGGCATACAAAACAGATGCAGCTAGATTGGCTAATCTGCCGGGAGATTTGCAACCAAAAGAGTGGGAATGGATGATTGAGTACTTTGGCACTGATTCAAAATTTCATGTTATCTCTAAGATCACGGTTTGTCTATTATGTGTTAAGATGAAATGGCTAGTCTCACTGGTTATATCTGGTTTCAATGAATTAATAGGAACACAGCCAAAAGAACGCCGGTAACCGTAAGAAACAGAAGACAAAAGACATAATCGGATCAAAATCTTACTCGCAAGTTAGTTTTGAGAAGGTATGAGTCCAACTAAATGTGTATGCCTCGCTGCTAAATATGGTGTCATGTTTCAAGCATCTCATAGTTATATTACTTGCAGAGAAACTTTGAAACTGGAGAAGAGCTAGATTGTATTGCTCTGTGGGAACTCACCCACACAAACGATGGAAAATGGTCTAACACAGATTCCCAAAAAGTTTACGTGAGTACAGTGACTTTTGGTTATTCTATAGTTAGTCAATGATGTACATTCGACATGTTTCATCATCAGATGCGATTATTCATGCGTTGGACCGTGTTATTCTTGTTTCATCTTTTATAATGTAAATATTGATGCCGCACCTATAATTGTTCCTTTCATTTTTAGGACAAAGCACTTCAAGAGGTTAAAACAAAGAAACTAAAACTGAAGGTCCACTTTCAAGTGAGCAAAAAAATATATTTTCCAGACCGGTTGCAAAGACACTCTGGAATGCAAGTCATCGCAGCCTCGTGGGTACGAATATATGGCCAAAACTTCAACTAGTTCTGAAAGGTTTCATATCCAGATTGAAGAGCAAGGTCGTGCTACAACAGCCACCCAGGAGTGAAACTCTCAGCTCAGCCAGCAGGTCAACGACTTAGAAGATCAACTACAAGCTGAACGTGCTAACACAGAAGAGAGGATTAACTTGGAGCGTGCTGAGAGAGAACAACTTGAGGAGAGGTTAAAAGAAGAGCGTGCTGAAAGGGAAAGATTGTTGCAAGAGGAGCGAACATCAAGACTGGAATTTGAAAAAAAACATGATGGCAAAGTTTTTAGAATTGAGCAAACAGATGGGAACCAAACAGGTGATGGTGATTACAGTCATATGCTCCCGACCTTGTAAGATTTATGTTGCTTACTTGCATTGCTAAAAATGCACTTCTATTTACAGGTGCCTACGAAGAGGGTTGACAAAGAAAATAGTAATCCAGACTTGCAAAATATTCTTTCACATAGATCTAGTCCTAATAAGACTCCAGGTTCAAGGCCGACTGCTATTTCTTCAAATGCGCTCATACAAGCCGCAGCAAGGCAATCTCGAATGTTTAAAGCAATGGTAAGTCACAACCTTCCTTTCTCTTCATGTTCACCTGCATTTTATACGTCATTGGTCTTCATAATTAGCTAGCTGCTTCTTCTCTTTTACCATGTGTCGTTGCTGCATCGAGTCACAACTTAAACAAAAATGAATATGTGCTAGCTAGGGACATGAACTTAACTGAAACTATACATCTAGTCATAACTTAAATCAATAGCAGGAGCTTTTAGTAGATGTACGATCGGACGATGGCACCATTATGTATGCACGAGCAGGATGTCATGAGCATGCGCATGATGCCTTCGCTCATGAGTCCACTGCAATCTCCCATGCAGTATCTCTTCCCGCTAAGTCGTGAGGGTCGTTTTTTAAACGGACTCCCGGCCAGTGCACACACTAGTGTAAACACGGTTGTGCCCCAACCCTCCGCTCGCCCGTGCCGCTCTCGCGGGCGGCAGGGCGAACCCTAGCCGCCGCTGGCCAGCAGCCCTTCCTCAACCCTTCCTCCCCCCTACCGCCGCCCGAGGGCACCGCCGGGCGAAGCCCGGTTGGCGGCAGTGGTGGCGGGGCCTTCTTCCTTGGCTTCCGGCGGCGGGGGACGCAGGGCCACGGAGAGGAGCGCGTCGTTCGCACGGGACGGCACGGCGGCGACCCGGGCGGCGCGCCGGTGGTGCGGCCGTGCGGTGGAGCGGCGGCGGCTGCGTGGTTCTGCTGGCGCGGGCTTATGCATGGGGAGGGCAAGGTGCTGGCTTCTTCGGGGCTTCCTCGTCAGATCAGGCGCAAGGGCCGCGGGCCGCGGCGGCGCGGGCTGGGGATGGTGTCCGGCTAGGCTGGGCCGGCCTCCAACATGGTGAGGCGTGCCAGCTGGTGCGCTCGTGACGGGGCGTGGCTGTATGGGCATAGGGGCTGCAGATCTGGTGGTGGCTGCGGTGGCGCCCGTGCAGTCGACGCGAGTGGTGGTGGCGGTGGTCTCCGGGAGGGGGCGGCAAGGCGCGTGACTCCGGTGGTGCATGCCCGGCGGCTCCGGCGCTTGGAGTTCGCCGGGCGACGCGGGTTGGGTGGCGGCCGGGCGTGGCCGCTGCTCTGGCCATGGGAGGCGGCGTGGGGAGGTCCGTCGGGTGGCCTCCCGGTGTCGTGGCGGCTTCACGGTGGCTCGACGGATCTGCACGTGACAGTGGCCGGCTTCTCCGGTGTCGGCTTGTCTGTGTGCGGACTGTCTCGACCTTCGATCCATTTCCTCGTCGCCCGGGCGCTACTCTCATCAGAGGGCTGGTCCTCTCCCAGCTGCGGCCACCACTTGTCTCGTGCCAGGTGCTGCAGGACCAAGCTCGTCTCGCGCACGGTGTAGCTGGATCAAGCTTGTCTCATGCACGGTGCAGCAGAACTGACCTCGTCCCCCTCTCGGTGCTGCAGGACCGAGCTCGTCTCACGCTCGGGGCAGCAGGACGGGTCGGTGGATGCGAGTTCTGGCCGGCCTATTGGGGTCTCGACGCTGAGGGTCGTCCAGGGGTGTGAAAGGTGGGACCTTTCCGCTCGTCACTTCCGTTGGGGTTGCGGCGGGTCTCGGGTGAGGTGGTGTCAAGGTATTGGATGCCAGGGCGGCGGCCCGGGTGGTGGTAGCGCGGTGCTCTTGGGCGGAGCCCGTGCACTACAACAGGAACCCCCCTATAGCAACACATGTCTTGCAACGCTCTGTGGATGTGTTGTAACGTATGTGCTATAGGTACGCACATATGTGTTGGGAAGACATATGTTGCTAAGGGTGTCAACAACAACGGTTACTTTGTGTTGCAGCTGTGCGTTGCCATTTTTAATAGTCCATATGTCCACCGTGCAGATCGCATGTTATTATTTCATTTTTAAAGGTACGCACATATGTGTTGGGAAGACATATGTTGCTAATGGTGTCAACAACAACGGTTACTTTGTGTTGCAGCTGTGCGTTGCCATTTTTAATAGTCCATATGTCCACCGTGCAGATCGCATGTTATTATTTCATTTTTAAATAGTCCATATGTCCACTGTGCAGATCACATGTTATCATTTTGTTATTGCATGGAAAAAGAAAAAGGGGCTACAGGATCCTCGAACCGAGCACCTCGCTGTTATCATGAGAGTAACAAACCACCTCAGCCACATACATCACGTGGTACCCATTCAGATTTCCTCCTAATGAACAATGCCCCATTAGTTGGGCCTTAGCAAATCATGGCCCATGAACGTGCCACGGGTGCTAGCAAATTGGACCGCCGCTTGTTTTTAAGGGAGCTCCTAGTCAGCGCCTTTCGGCGCCCACACAACAGCGATCGTGGGCCAGCCCAAAAGGGGGGCGCTTCGAAAATGATAAACAAGGGGATAAAAGACGAGGAGTGATTCGAACCTGCGTACTCATGTTTCGTGGTAGACTGTGCTAACCACTCGACCACTTACGAGCATCTGCATGGTTCAAATCTTTCCGTTTTATATATTGTCTCTTTTTTTCTTTTTCCTATTTACTTTTCCATTTTTCGTTTTCTGTTTTTTCTTTTTTTCCTTCTTCCTTAATTGATGATTTTTTTTTCAAATTCGTTAAATCATCCAAATAAAATGAACTTTTTCATTTTTTGATGAACTATTTTTCAAATTCGATGAATTTTGAAACAAAAGTTCACAAATTTGAAACATAGTTCATTATATTTCAAAAAATTCACAAACATGATGAAACTTTATCGAATTTAGAAAAAGTTCACTGACTTAGAAAAAAGTTCATCAAATTCAAAAAAGGTCATCAATTTTAAATCAAATTTCATCAAAATTGAAAAACATTCGTCAAAATTAAAAAAATTCATCAGATTTCAAAAAAAAGTTTATCAAAATCGAAAAAATAGTTCATCAAATTTGAAAAGAATATTCGTCAAAACTGAAAAAAAGTTCATCGGATTTGAAAAATGTTCATAGAATTTGAAAATAGTTTATCAAATTCGGAAAATAGTTCATCGGTTTGAAGAAAAAGTTCATTGAATATAAAAAGTTTGTTAATATTTGAAAAGGAAGAGAAAAGAGAAAGAAAAATAAAGAAAATAAATAGAAAATGCAAACAAGAAAGAGAAAAAAGAAACAAAAAGAAAGAACAAAAAAGGCAAATGGGAGAAACGTAACACAGGATATGTGTTGTCCTAGGTGGTTAGCGCAGCTCGCCGTGTTCCAAGAGATCTCGTGTTTGAGTTCTTGCCCCGCCGACCCTTTTTTCAACTTTTACATAAACAGGGAAGGAAACTAACTGGGCCAGCCCAATCGGGGCAGGGGGACGTGCGCTGCAGGCGCCCGTTAGCAAAATGGCCTATAACGGGCGCCTGCAGCGCCAAATGGGGTTTGCCGGTTTTTAATATCGATCAGTTGCTACTTGCAATTTACTCACAAATAGGTCATATTTGTATGAATTTCTCCAAAAAAAATACTTGTATGTTACACTAAAAAATAAGTTCCTACTTGTACGTTTATGTTCACTTGAAATCCGAGACTTTAGGAAATTAAGAATTTATTTATAAAAATATTTTACTTTACTAATTTTATATAACACGGTACTTGTTTTAGTGAAAACTGTGTTCATGTAAACGAAAATTGTTCTTCTAATTTTGAAGAGTGTTCATGCTTCTTTTAAAACATGGAATTTAAAAAAATGTATATCAAAAAATTGTCGTGTGATTTAAAAATGTTCATTGTGCATTTAAAAGAATGTTTATCATGTATTTTATTAATATTCATCATCTATTTTAAAAATTATACATGCTATATTTCATAAAAACTATCATGTATTTAGCAATTGTTCATCGTATATTTCAATAATGTTCATCATGTATTACCAAAAGGTCATAGTATATTTTAAAAATGTAAACTGTGTATTCAAAATTCGTTCATCGTGTATTTAATAAAATGCTCACACATTTCAAAGGAAACTATGTATTTCAGAAAAAAGTTCATTGTGTATTTTAAACGTGTTCATGGCATATTTCAAAAGGTCAGTCAAGTATATAAAAATATTTAATATATATTTCATTTTTTATTATGCGTTTAGAAATGTTTGTCACATATTTAAAAAAAATATTGCACATTTAGAAATTTTTTAATATATATTTATAAGTTTTCATGCATAAAAAAATCTAAATGAAAAGGAAACATGGAAAAACATACAAAAGCCTAGGGTTCCTTGTCGTTGGCTTGAGGATGGGCGACCCTCCCCTTTCTCTGTTTTTTTCTAGAATGTCCTTGCTTTCCCGCATTGGTTCCTTGGTGACATTGACATAGTGGTGACGGCAATGGCGCATTGGGATAAGGACTTTCCCGCATGTCCCTATCTCCAAGATGCTTGATCCGGCACCGACGAAGAGCCTGTGAGTCCAAAACATCTCAAACATAACAAAAATGACATTTAGGTCTCTAGGCCATCGAACGACCACTACTGCCGCCAAAACGAGCCACCGACGTGTCGTTGTCGCCGCTTCCCTCTAGAGCTGACTTGACAAGTCTTCATGCACGCGTCCCTAAGGACCAACGCCCTAGAACCACGGATGTCACCATTGAACCCTTGCATAGATATGAAGCAATTGATACCAAATCTTTGATATCGTGCACCCACGACAAGAAACCCTAACCTCGCAGCCTAATGAGGCGGCAGGAATCTACGCCGGACCTCCATCGAGTATGTCCGGATGGACGAACCCATGTGGACGTCGCCGGCCAAGGTGGGGGCCACAAATGATGTGGATGGGGCAGCCTCGTGGTTGTTGAGGCCCGCTGGTGGGAACTGCGCAGGCGAAGTGAACAACATGGAGTTGTCACGGTTCCCTTCCGTGATCGTCATCACCGCCTCCGCATCCGCCACCGTCGTGATCGCGCTGCAGCCCGTGCGAGCATTGCACGCATCCTAGTAGAGCGCCTACTACTGGTCGAGGAGGTTCGGGTCCTCCACGACCATGGACGCCACGGCCTCCTGGCTCACGAACTTGTCGTAGATTTGGCCCTCCGCCGCCAATGATGCGCGAGCATGGCGACATTGTAGCATTGGTCCTCCTGCGCTAGTCGAAACACCGACACCAGTGGCGTCCGCTGGTCCTTCGCCATAACAACATTGAAGTGCACCTACGCCAGCTTCATATTGAATTCGGTATGGGC